TTCTCTCACAATACCAACAGGAATAGTAATGAATCTAAAACCATACTCACAACCTCTTTAATCAAAAGCATAAACCATAAAAAAGTATAATTTGTATTAAAAAACACATTTTTCTTGTAGGAAATGACATAACATTTTATGCTAATTATTATTATTATTATTATTATTATTATTATTATTATTTGTTTTGAGAGTATGTGTGTATAGGTTTGCATAGCATTAACGCATTTAGTATAATGTCATATTATATAAACTATGAGAAAAGTGAAAATTAAAAATATCTTAACATTTAAAATATTAAAATTATTTGTAAAATTATTCAAATACTTTTAATAGACTTTTTTTATGTGATTTATTAAATTTATTAAATTCTTTTCATTATCATTCCTCACATTTTATTAAAGTTATGATTTTCATCAATCTCAAAAAATATTATATAAAAATTGTTCTTAAAATATTGCTAATTGGGTTCATCAGTCCAAATCCATAATACCTAATTATTTGTTTAGTGCTTGAATTTCTTTAAATCCTACTTGGATGATATTTCAGTAAATGTGGAGAGGAGATATTTTGGTTTAGTGCACCTCAATCAGAAAAAGGCCTCATAAAAATTTTATATCCACAACGTGAGAGAAATAAGTACCCATAGATCTAGTTATCAAAAATCTAGTTTATTTCTCTCACGCAATGTTCTAACGTCTTGAATTTGAAACATTATTGAGTATTGTTTGTTCAGTTTGGGAGAGTAGGGCTCGGATTGTGCCAAACCTAGTGGCAGCTGCCGATTCCCGTACCTAACTACATGCAACTTGTCATTTTTCAGGTACTAATTTTGCATGGTAAGTCTTTCAAACCAACAACATCTCAACACTTAAAAAAAAAAAATTTTTTTTAAATGCATCAAATTAATATAAAAACTATGCCTTCAAATTTATTTAAAGTGGGGATTAATCTCAAGTTTGCACCCATAAACTGACTCAAAAATACTTTAACTATAAAAAATAAATAAATAAATAATAAAACAGCCCCCCCTATGTAAAACGACCAATGTAAGTTATTGCACTTGAATGTTTAAACTTTAGGTTTCATGTATACGTGGATGCTTATAACATGCTCCCTCTTTCTTTTTCTTTTTTTATTTGAAAAGCAAAAGAAATATCATAATATTAACTGAGTACAAGGGGTACTCAAACCCATAAAACATCAACATGCTCCCTCTTTCTACGTAAATTGTATATGTTATGAATGGATTGTTGAATGCAACTGCCCATTGAAAAACCATCCCTTTTCATTAGTCTATAATTATCCAAGAGACCATGACATAAGATGAGAAATGGGGCTTGTTTTCTTGCGGAAAAATGGTATGTCATATTCAAATTATTTAAGGGAAGATTAATAAGTGGATTAGTGACTCAAAACAAGGGGCACTAACCAAAAAGTTGTATATTAATTAACAACATAATCATTATTTTACTTCAAAATGAAAGCATTAATGTTGATCATATAATTTTTAATGTGAGGATTTAAACTTATCCATCCACCCTTGCACATTGATGGACTCTCACTGCCGTTTTTCTAAATTCTAATTAATCGCACCTTATCCACTTTTTTCATATACCTCAGAACCTAATTTTATTTACTAGTACGCCGCCCTTAATGCGCATATTTATCGAACTCTAACACTATAAAATTGATTTTAATTTTAAAAAAGTGTTTTTTATGTTGATCTGTAAGTAAAAAGTGCATGAATATTTAAGAAAAATGAGCGATCTATTACATATAAATTTTATACATCACATTTACACAAAATCGTAAAAATTCATCTCTCAACTTTCAATTGTTGAAATTTATTATAACTTTTTAAATAAAAAAATATAATTATTTTTAATAAATATAAATAAATTTCAATCATTCATTCAAAGTAAAGAGATGAATAATTAAGATTTTATATAAATGTAATATATAAAACTTGTGTATAAATAGATCTCCACTCTTTATGAAACTATTTAAGGGTTTTTCTAACTTAGGTTAAGGGTACATTAATTTATCGCACCTTTTCACTATTAATTTATATGAAAGTAAATATTATTTTCAATACTAATACCACATGAAATAATTTAATTAGATAATTGATAAAACTTAAGTATTTTTTTTCATATAAATTAATTAATGATGAAAAGGCACAATCAATACATTATAACTTGCAAGTTAAGTGCATCAAAAAAACTTGCGAGTTAAAAATTTTCATTATTTAAATACCTTTAATAAATTACATATGCATATTGATTCAATTCATTAACGATACTTAAGTCTATGACATTCCTACATTTTTTTGTAGGCTGGCTTGAAAATCTGCATTCCCTTGATTTTTAACATCATTTTATTAAATTATTGTAAGGCTACAAATTCGTCACATAAAATATAATTGTAACTGATATATAAGTATTAAGATAAATTATTATTAATAACTTAAGTTTTACTTTTCAAGGATCATATGAACCTTAACCTTCACCCTTGATGGTTTACAGAATTGAAACTAAACATTCTTGTATGTTGTCTTAGCAATATATATTGGGTTAACATAAAGCTAACCGTTCTCTTAATTTTTATTTTTTTTTTAAGATTTACTTAAAAACTCAATTTCTAATTAATATTTTAAAAATAAACTGTAGAATTAAAAATTCTACTTATGTATATATTGTATGTCAATTTTCAAATTGATCAAACATTTAAAACTCTTTGATAGAAGATAATATATTTACCAATATATATTTAATAGTATTAAATTTTGTATAATTAATAAACTGATTAGGCATGCTAGATCAATTTGAAAATTAACAATTATAATCCATATGAGTAAAACTCTTTTCAATAGTTGGCTTTAAAAATATTAATTAAAATATGATATTTCTATAGATGTCCTTCGTGAGAAACTCTTGCAAAATGTACTTTTCCATATATGTATATATATATATATATGGTATTGAGTCAAATTTTTGCTATGTTAAATGTTTACCTAAATTTTTTATTCTAAAAATTAAAAAATTAAATAACAACTACTATTATTGAATAAAGAGAGTATTTCTTAACTGCTAAATCAAATATGACTTACTGGACTCTTAAAACTAAATTTAACTTGTTAAAACTAAAAAGGGTCAAAAGTACTTCTAAACAAACCCTTTTGTTTCTTTTTCCTAAACAAAACTTTTTTTTTTTTTTTGAACAATTTAACATAGGATGGGATTGAACCCACCCAAAAAAAAAAGAAGTGTGTCTATTTAATTATGTGGTTAATGCTATTAGGTCCAAAGGGCCAGGTGCACCTAAACAAAACCCTTTTAGTTTGAACAAAACGTCAACTTCCTGCCAGTAAAAGAGATTTTCAAGCGAAGTTAAAACAAAAGAATTCAAATGGCAGAACTACGATTTTGACAGGTAAACCCATTGTATTGTTTGAATAAGAACAGTGTAGGCAAGACAACGGAAACATAACATATTTGTTTCAACTAAAACCCACATGCTAGGTTTTGAATTTTTTTCATGGAAAGGAAGAATGTATGACCTTAATTTCACCATGCAGACAAATTTTGGGTCGTTTTCTTATAAAGAAATGTTGGATATCAGAGGATTGTTTTGTGTGCTTCTCTTTAAGTTGTAATTAAAATGCCCTAGAGTCAACGTAACAAGGAGGAGACATTAAGGACCCATTGAAGGAAATACTTCACATGGATGTTGGGGGTGTCTGCCTGGCAATGGTGGGGAAATTAAGGTGGAAATGATGGTTCTGTTTAATTCCTGGACAAACAGTCCTGCTTTAGATGAAGGAGGCCCCCCCTCCAATTCTATCAATAATATTAATTCAGTACTGAAAATGATTAGAAATTAATATTTTGATTTCATAGTTTGGTTGTGGACCAACTTCTATGTGATTTTGATGATTAAAAAAATGGATTTTACATTTTTTTATATATAAAAGGGTTGGTTGTTTCGTTTTATAGGTTAAATTAAAGAGAAAATAAAAATTTGGACTTTTATATATTTTAAATATTAAGATTATCATATGAAATTATTTAAATATCTTAATAAATTTTTTACACGCATTGATTTATTAAGACATTCAAATTTTTTTTATTACCATTAATTCTTGATATTTTAATTATCAATGTATCCTAATTTTTTGCAACCACTAAATTAAATTAGCTAAAGCCGGAAGTAGAAACCTTGAGGTTAATTTCATGTTCGAGTTTGAGTTCTACCGTATAGAGGTTAACTGCAACTATACAATGGTTTTGTACAATTGGTAATTAATATGAGGCATAGAAAACTACCATGAATGAATTGCAACTAGAGAAGAGTTCTCGAGGGTGTCAAGTCTTTTAATATGTTGATTGGTTGATATTATCAAATTATAATTACATTAACTTAAAATTTGACATGAATGTAATCAAAATATTTAATCTTTTAAAGAAGAAAAAAAATTTTATAAAGTTTTTAATTTTAATATGGATAATCAATTTTTAACT